AACATCCCACCAATCTTTAACCTTAGCAAACTTGACTCCATCCGAACTGTACAGCACATAGAATGCTGTAACCCACTGGCTTGTTTCCTCTCTACCCTGAGTGGCCACACCAGTTACTTTCATTGACTTTCCAAGGTCAACCTGGATCCACTGGTTATAGTTGTTATGGCGGGCAGACCACGCCCCCATAAGTTTTCCACGACGCAAACGCTTTAATCTGCCCAGGTAGGCGGCATGGTTGTTGTCCCATTGTGACGAAGCTTTGATGGCACTGTTTCGGATTCTGCCACTTTGCATACCGAGGGCTCTGTCACACAGTCGTTCTGTAACATTTTGCAAAAGTCACATTTTAGCGCTTTACTTAAGGCGCAGTTTTAAAAATATCACAGTTATTGCAAACACTGTTTGTATAGCACCACTATTAGGAACCTTACGATCCAGCAACGGTGTCGTCCATGAAAACGCGTAGAAAAGGAGACTTCGCAGCCTTTCAAACTTCTTTTTCGCGATTATCCCAAGTCGTCCTGTTACTTAAAATAAGGGAATTTAGGTTGGAGCTGAAGAGAGAGGACCGCGCCCGAGTTCAGAGAGAGATGGTAGAATTTTTCGCTTTGCCGTTCCCGTTCTGAACAAAACTTAATATTTGGTCATTTCACGTAGTAGTTGTGCAGGGACGGCAAAGCAATTTGCAAAAAGGCTTGATGCACGTGCGGAGCTGTTTTTTTGCTCATTAAACTTATTTCCTTTTTTGACGTTCCCGCTGCCGTCGCCCTCGTAGTTTCGTAAGATCCAGACGTTGGCGCATTACGGCGGAAAAAAGCGGGTAGCCATGTCCTTCTTACCTTTATATCGGCACCCATACAGCTCGACTCTCATAGCAATACGCGACCTCCAGGTTTTTGGGTGGATTCTTATATACCGTGCCCTTACGTTTGGTGATATCCTCTGAGCAACAGTGTGATAAACATCGTAATTCCCGCGGAATCTCTACAATGTCAAAAAAAGATATGAATTCCAAAAATTTTATTCTTGTTCTATCACTTTGTTTGTTGTGGTGTTATATCAGCAACTGATTGCAAATTAAGGCCTGGTGTTCGTGCCTTGACTGAATTTTGTGTTTTCTTCCGACAAACAACTCTAATAAAGTATGAATATTTTTGTTTAGCGCCTCAAAGACCACACATATTTCTTTCCTTTTCTAAACAATAGGAAAAAACGACCATCAAAGACTGGTTTTCCATAAACGTTTACCACAAGAACTCGGCAACGGAAATCTTTAACTCAGGGAAACGATACAAGTTGTATTTGATGAATACCAAAAAAAGTTAACATTCATGTAGACGAAATTCATGAATTTGTGCGTGACTTTATAGATCAGGGCGTAATGAAAGTAAACCACGGCTACTACTTTGAAACAGTGGTAGAATCCAATACAAACTTTTAAGAAAAACAAGAGGGCTGTACCAAAGTAGAAAAAGGAAGCTGGAATTTCGAAGCAGAGCAAGCTGCAAAGGCCGTTTTTACTTTTCTTCTCTCTAGTCAGAAGTGTGACACAAACGTTTTAAGTTAATCACAAATCAAATCACTATAAAACTTTAATAGTCGAATCAACTGAAAACTGTTTAAAAACACACCTTGAGTCGTCCACCCACTGAATAAGCCCTAAAGCGGAGTCCGTCTTTACTGTAGGAGAGCACATAGCTTTTCACCCATTCCAAATGACCTTTTCGGCGTCCCTGTGTAGCAATACCTTTGACGATACACATCTGCCCCAAGTCAATTTGTAGCCACTGCTTCGTGTTGCGATATTTAGCTACCCAGGCTCCTGTTCGCCCGTGACTGGCGTAGATATTCAGACGCGCACGGTCGGGTCCGTGGTTGTAGTTGTACGAAGACGACACCCGAAGATTTCCCGATAGTATTCGTCGGTCTTCCATACCGAGGGGTAAGCTGCAACGGTCTGGGGTAAATCAAAGATGATCAAAGAGTCATATACTGAAGAACTAAAAACAATATGGTGGTCGTACATTTTGACAAAAAATACGGGTGGAAACTAAAAAGAAACTTTCTTACAAGCTATGAGTTAACTCAAGAAAAGACATTATTCGCACTATTTTTGCAACTGCAGAGTCATTTATGATAATATTGACCATAACAACTAAGCTTCAAAAACATAATACGGCGGATGGAATAAGCAAGCTATCACATATTTTACAATAACTGAGTGATTTCTTGCGCGCTGTTTAGTGGTCGAGAGCGATCAACCTCGCTCCCAGGGTTTTCTCAAGTGAGAGAACCCTGGGAACGAGGTTGGAGAGCCATGGTCGATAAGAGTACAGACCGTGAAAATGACGTGATGGTGAGGCAATTTGTATTTCAATTTGTATTTTTCCTCGCTCGCGTCTTTTCGAAAAACTACAAGTTCTAAACCGTCAAGGTCAATGCAAAAAATAAAAACAAAACAAATCGTCGACAGCTTTCCATTATCTCTACTCTTATCGACCAAAGCAATGACGTCAAAATGTTCAAAACTTTGCAGTGAAACCACTCGTCGTTTCATTTGAGTTTTGAACATTTTGACGTCATTTCTATGATCATACTCAATCTACTTGTGTCATTTCTATGGTCGATAAGAGTACAGACCATTGAAAATTGTTGTCGATTTGTTGAATGTAAGATCTACAAAATGCTCACCAGTAAAGCATCCGTAGAACTCCACACGCATGGAGATGTGCCTATACCATCCCCAAGGACAAACTCGGATGTACCGAGTGCGAACGGCAGGATTGAATGGATTTGTCACCACGGTGTTACGATCTCGGTTTCCGGTGAAATACTTTCTACTATTACGTTCTTTGTACTCCACGAAATTGATGGCATTAACGCTGTGTTTAATGTAAAACTGCGTGACCCACTGACTGACATCTTGCCTTCCTTGGGTTGATACCTTGATTATCTTGACAGGCCTTTTAAAATCGACCTGTAGGTACTGATACCGATTGTTGCTTCGCGCGCACCAGGCACCCACGTGCTTCCCGTGGCGAGCGCGATGGAGCCGCCCCAGGAAAGGTGCGTGGTATTTGTCCCATTGAGAAGACGCTGTCATTTGAGTGTTTCTGAGACGGCCATTCTGTAATCCCATTGGCTGGTTGCACTGTTTACCTGTATGGGAAACATCAATACTCCATGAACAGCTCATGAAAAATGAATGATTGGATCACCTGACCGGCGATCGTGATCGAGAATGTTATATGAAAACACCTCTCTTTCCAACCGAATCGATCCGGACAATTGGGGCGATGTCAGTTGCCTAGGTAGGCCTGAGGTCTGTCTGGACGTTCGAGGCGATAATACAGAATACACAGAGTTGCCTGGGTGATCTCTATCGTTAAAAAAACATGTACGACAATTGGACCTACCATGACAATCAAGATGATAATGAAGAAACCTTGCCTAAATGAAAATTGCGATGACACAACCTAGAATAGCAGGCCTACAAGTGTTCAATCTAAAATGTAAGGTAAGTTGCCTCTTACCCAGTCTGCAGCCGAACAGTTCGACCCTCATGGATATGTAGCTATACCAACTCCTGACATTTATGCGCACGTAGCGAGCAATGAACGGTCTAAAGAAGCGATGGCAAACCACATAGTATCTCTCGATATTAGCCTGAAACAACTAAATTTAAATTAAAGCGTTAAAATAGTAGGAGAGAGAGTCGGGAGAAATCTCAAAATTGTCGTTCACGGAATTAATCTCCGAGAAATAAACTTAAAACTTACACTGAAGAATCAAATTAAAAGTAAACCTAGAAATTTTCAATTCAGTGTTACAAAACCAAAGTGCGTGTTTACTGAACGGCTTCAAAACGTAGCTGTAGATCTGGTGATTATTTCAATCTTAAGGTTTGGATTGTTTTGCCCAGAAATCTCAGCCACGATTTATTATATATGAAAGCTCTGATTAGACAGGAAGTTTTTTCATACACGATTCATTCATGTTTTTCTTTTTTCTTTTAACAGGAAGAAGATACTCGGGAGGGGTATGGTATTACTGCAGTACACTTTCACAATTTCTTATAACTCTTAATGTACATACCCTCGTTCTCCTCCCCTCCTTATATGGTACAAACTTGTCTCCCTTTGCACTGAACGACACAGTATAGGACTTCGCAAACTGATTAGCATCGTAGCGTCCTTGAGTACAGATTCTCTTCACGCGTGACTTGGTCCCAAAGTCAATCTGAAGCCATTGATTCCTATTCCGGTATTTAGCTATCCATCCTCCCCTTGTAGAACCATAGTTTCGTGCATGAAGTCTGGCATTCCAGGGACCATAATAATGGTTGTACATGGAGGAGGCGGTAAGCATCGATGGGGTAATTCGGCCATCTTGCATTCCCAACGGAACATCGCAGGGATCTACGCAAGAAGATAATAACAATAATTATACAAGTGGTCATAGCTTTCACTCATGGTGCAAGGCTTGAAGACGTCGAAAGGAATGAACAAGGGACAAGTAACTGGCACTGGCACTGGTTAAGAATCCCAACTGGCCGGAGGCGAACCAGTTGGCTATTTACAAGCGTGGTCGAGGATATGAACTCGGGACTACCGTGAACAAATCCAGCTAGCGGTCAGAGCAGGTCTTGAACTCGGGGCCTCCGAATCCCAAGTCCAGCGCTCTAACCACTCGGCCACGCTGCCTCCACGTTCGTTAGGGAGGATTGCATAACGAGACAAATGAGTGTCAACGTGGCAGGCTACAGAGCTGCTAAAAACCACACTGTTGATAATTTATAAGGCATGGAATATCATGTAAGGACCCCTTTCAAAAAATACGTAGAAAAAGTCTTCCAACTGACCGGTTTTGCATCCGTAAAATTCCACTCTCATTGAAATGTGCCTGTACCAACTCCACGGGTGAATGCGGATGAACCGCCCGTACACTGGAGGAGTAAGGGCTTGTATTTTGATGCTGTTTTGATCGTTGTTACCACGGAAAATCTGCCAAGAAAAATGCCCCATGAAAAGGTAACAGATTCAATCAACTCAAATGAAACACAGGGTCTCACTGTAATAAAAAAAGTATATATAACTTCTTTTTTCAGTTTCCAAAAATTGCTCTGTAACCCTCGGTATAGAACTCGTTGAGTTTTATTAAGATTTCGAAGGTGTAGATACGCACGATCAAGAAACTCAACGATAAGAGACCAAAGTGGAAAATCAGATCTGGAGGAAACGCCTTCTTCTCCAATTAATTTCCACCAGTCACAGTAGACCTCTCCACTTAATAAGGCGACACGCGCTCAGTTGAAGTTGACCTCATACTGAAGAATAGCAGTACGAAGTCGAAATGTCGCGATTTATATTTATCAAAAAACGAACGATAATCTACTTTATTAATGTACTCAGCCAAGATGAACAATACTCAACTTTTCCAGGCAATTACCTTGTCGCTGTTTTTGAATCGATAGACTTGCCAGTGCACTCCATCTAAGCTTGAAGACACTTTATAATAAGTCACCCACTGGGCAGCGTCTTGCCTTCCCTGTGTCAGAATTTTTGTGATTTTCTTTGGTCGACTGAAGTCCACCTTGAGCCACTGGTTCCTGTTATTGACTCTCGTACACCAGGCCCCTACATATCTCCCTCGCTTCTTTCGTCCCAGTCTACCAAGTCTCGCCCCGTGGTAGACATTGTACTCGGATGAAGCAGTGATCTTGTTGTTTCGCAGGCGACCGCTTTGTAAGCCCAAGGCAGTGTTACAGAGGGGTCCTTAAAAAGAGAATAGGCACCATAATCATTGAAACTTTAATACCCAATACCCTTGGAGGCACCTTAAGAGACCTTAACCTCCGACATCACTACGATTACAACTTGGACCACTTGTTAACGGGCTTAAGGTGTCACTTGTAAAGTAAATTCTTTAATCCCTCCCCATGAGAGTTTTGAGACATAACTGGCTTGAGAAGTGGGAGTTGAAGTGCTAGGGAACATCACCCTTATTCTTAAAAGAGAGTTTTAACAAAGTCACGTTGAAGTTGTATTTTGTTTTTAAGAGGGACTATTTCATTTGAAATGCAGACAGTGAGATAAAGATTCAAAAAAGAGACACAACCATTTTTCTAAACCGACCTTGAGGTTTCTAGGAATAACGCTGCTTTGAGTGTTTGATACAGCTTCTCTCCGAATCTCCGAAGATTAAATCTCTTGATTTGAGGTAAGAAGTCTCCTTAATTTACAGTTTTCCACCATACACTATCAGAGAAAAAATGGATAACTTACTTGCACAGCCATAAAGCTCAACTCTCATGGAAATCCAGCCGTACCATGTCCGTGGATGAATCTTCACGTAAGCGGCACTGAACGATCTCAAAAAACGATGATATACTACAGAATTTCTGTCACTATTGCCTGAAAAAATCTACCAAAAAATAGAATAAATAATACGCATTAGCTATTTCAGAGTGTAACCAAATTTATGGGTAAAAGCACTCGTGAAAACGTAAGTGGATTCATGTTCTATGATCTTTCAGGGTTAGTTCGTTGAATTCTAAATAGAACGCGTGTAAATAAAGGGTAAAACACAAACATTTTTCACAGGTTTCGATGGTTACATACATATAATACTATGAGTGGAGAAGAGAGGGTTTCGAAACTATAAAGAGCATATCTCTCACCTTTACGCGTCTTCTTTCCTTATAAGGAACGTAAGTGACGCCATCTCCACTATACGTCACAACATAACTCATCACCCATTGATTGGCATTTGATCTTCCTTGGGTCGCTATTCCTTTAAAACGCATTACGTCACCAAAGTTAACCTTCATCCACTGCTTGCTGTTTCTAGTGCGCACGCTCCAAGAGTAGATGTGGTTTAAACGGCCATACCATGGTGCAAGGTAGGAATTGTAGTAACTTGAGGCTGATACATCGCCTGGTGTGAGTCGCTTGTCTTCTAAGCCAAGAGGCATGTTACAACGGTCTGTAATAAGAAGGATGAATAATCCATTCAGATAAGCTCTTTGAGTACTATGCCTCAAGTGCTAAAAACACAAATGCACCCAAAACGTATCTCAACTTAACGCGCTGAGCAGAACGTTCACTGAAAAAGCTGCACATGAGGACCTGGCAAGCGCTGCAAAAGCGTTCCAAACGAGGCCAACGTCGTTCTCAAACCACTCCACAGCCTGTGGAGCCGGGGTGTGCTTTTGCAACTTGAACGCGCTCAAGATGTCTCGAAAATAACTCAGACGTGCACTAAAGGACTAAAAAAAAGCGACAACTAGAAGCCAACTAGAAACGGCTCAAATGTGTATCAAGAGCGTCATGAACGGACAACAAAGCGTGTTCTAAAAGCGTCCTGCGACAAAATGATCCATGCATAACAAAACCATTTCTACCTTCAGCGCATCCATAGAATTCCACTCTCATGGAGATGTGTCGGTACCAACCCCATGGGCGAATCTGAATAAACCTCGCTTTGATTGGTGGAAAGAATCTGTATTGTACGACTGTGTTTTGGTCCCTGTTCCCAGTGATATACTGAAAAGACAACGAAAATAAAGTGGGTTACGTTTAATGATTAGACAGCAATTGTGTAATGAATTCCAAACGTGCAGGTCGTTTTACAAATTAACCCTTTCACTGCCAAATGTGGCCAAAGGCAAATTTCCACCAAATTTCGTTTGCAAAATTTTGACAAACAAATAGCACCATGTGTAAGTACAGGCAGAGAGCTTTCATAGGATTTCGTCCACAGACTCAAAAGTTAGAGTCACCTTACAAAACTCCATCAAGCACTCTGGCAGTGAAAGGGTTAAGCAAATCAGGGAAGACAGAAAATAGATTTAAGTTGATCGCACATTAACTTCTAGTGTAAAAAATAAGAGTGCATTTCAGAATTAATTCGAATGGTTTAAGCCCGTCTCTTCAGTGCTCCCAATAATTAAAACTAGGTGCAAAATCATACAAGCCACCCAACGAACCTTTCGATTACTGTTTTCTATGTACTCGGCAAAATTCGCACCGTCTTGACTGTAAGCCACGAAGTACTTCGTGACCCACTGACGCGCATCTTGTCTTCCTTGCGTGGCAATCTTCACCACACGCGTGGGACGTTTAAAATATACTTGCAAAAACTGATAGTGGTTATTATGACGCGCGGACCAAGCGCCCACTCGAGCGCGACTCTTGCGCCAATGAAGCCTGGCGTTACCCGGTCCGTGATTACGATCCCAGCTGGATGAGGCGGTTATTTGATTGGAGCGAATACGGCCATTTTTCATTCCTAGCGGCCTGTCGCACCTTGGACCTAGAAAGGGTAAGGCGAAACAAGACTTATTACGAAGGTTTCAATATTTCAAGAGAAGCACAGTTTAAACAAAAGAAAAAAATACTATTAGGCAAGTAGTAAAACAGGAACTGCGTTGACCCCTCTTTTGGATAGGAAACTTTTAAACAAGGGTACAGAAATACATAACCGTCATAACCTGGAGTCTCTCAATCATAATCTCATTAGAGTCTAAGTGAAAAACTATACTTAAATGCTGATGACGCTTTAGCCTATTGTCTTAGTTTTTTCCTAGTCAACACTAATTCGGTCTGTTATGCAAGGTAAGTACCTTACTTCATGAATAACTGGTTATGCCACTACATTCACCCGTACAAAAATTGTTTGATTTCCTACTAAAGGTACCTTATCGCCGATTATCTTTATGCATACAACTTATTATATTCCGAAAGTTAAATAAGATTAAAATATTAATCTAAATTACTCACCAATGACGCAACCATAGAGCTCAACGCGCATGGAAATCCAACTACGCCACGTGACTGGATGCACCTTGAAGCAATGACCGGTTAACGGTCGGATAAACCGGTGCCGAACCACAATATAGCGGTCAAAGTTTCCTTGGAAAATCTAAGAAAACATGAATATAACATTGCCAGGTAAAATATTTCTTGAAAGACCATTTTGCTAAAAAATCTTAATAAGTTAACTTTCCTATTAACAATGTTCAAATATCGCTTACAGAATGAACGTTTTGAAGTAAAAAGCGCACATTATCTGTCTTCAGATATTAAGAGCTAGATCACTTTACATCCCAAATATTTTGACTTAGCTTGTTAACGCAATGTTAAAATCTCAAAAGGTTATCACCACCTCATCGACACGACGGGAACGCAAGTTAATTCGCGTGCAGGCTATTCCGCGTAAAATCGCGTCGACATCTTACGAAGCGTTTTATTGGCTTCATATGACTGTTGAGACGTTATAGACATGGCTTGTGGAAAGTTAGCGAGATCATCTCTCACTCACCTTTGTCCTTCTGTTCTCTTTATAGGTAATAAAACGGTATCCCGTGGTGCTGTACGACACATAGTAACTAGTCACCCACTGGTCAGAATTTTGCCGACCTTGAGTAGCAATGCGTGACACTCGAGTAAGCCCTCCCAAATCAATCTTAAGCCACTGACGCCTGTCACTCCGTTTAGCACACCACGCCCCTCCAAGCCGCCCAACGCGCCTCTGACGGAGCCTGGCGTTCCTCGGCGCGCAGTAGTAGTTGTAGAATGAGGAAGCAGTTATCAGTTGGTCAGGTACACGGCGGTCTTCCAAGCCAATAGGAACATCGCATTTGCCTGCAAAGGGAAAAAGAAAGTGAACTCATGAGACATAAGCAATCCAGCCCAGCAACAGGTCTTTCGCACACCAGTTAAATTCATTAAAAAGCGTTTCGACAGGAACAACAATGATTCTTGATGAAAAGGCCGCATCAAAACAGTTGTTTAACAATGGAACTGAGAAATAAGGCATTTGTTTGTTCAGATATCTATACATCTATTGGCACGATTAGGTAACGTTCTAGTGTCGTTATTACTGCCAATAAAGATAGAGATATCCGGACCATTTGCACTTACTATATGCGCCACCATACAGCTCAAGTCTCATCGAGATATGAGAACGCCAGCCACGGGGGTTGATTTTTATGAATCGTGCGTACAGTGATGGATTAAAGGAATGCGTTCGAAGGCCATTCTGGTCGACGTTTCCTCTAAAAGTCTGAGATATAACGATATCAAAGAAAAAATCATTAAACTAGCCGTTGGTTAAAACAGCACGCCCTCAAGAAGGTTTTCTTCCTGTAGTTACAAAATAAACCATGAACATTCATCCATAATCGGCATACCGCCGGAGTTGAGTCAGCTTTTAGAGAGGAGTAACGCACTTCGATATGCAACGCTTGTGCGCAACCTAGATTCTTCTTGCACGAAAGACCTTAAAACTTNCGCATTTGCCTGCAAAGGGAAAAAGAAAGTGAACACATGAGACATAAGCAATCCAGCCCAGCAATAGATTCATTAAAAAGGGTTTCGACAGGAACAACAATGATTCTTGATGAAAAGGCCGCATCAAAACAGTTGTTTAACAATGGAACTGAGAAATAAGGCATTTGTTTGTTCAGATATCTATACATCTGTTGGCACGATTAGGTAACGTTCTAGTGTCGTTATTACTGCCAATAAAGATAGAGATATCCGGACCATTTGCACTTACTATATGCGCCACCATACAGCTCAAGTCTCATCGAGATATGAGAACGCCAGCCACGGGGGTTGATTTTTATTAATCGTGCGTACAGTGGTGGATTAAAGGAATGCGTTCGAAGGCCATTCTGGTCGACGTTTCCTCTAAAAGTCTGAGATATAACGATATCAAAGAAAAAAATCAGTAAACTAGCAGTTGGTTAAAACAGCACGCCCTCAAAAAGGTTTTCTTCCTGTAGTTACAAAATAAACCATGAACATTCATCCATAATCGGCATACCGCCGGAGTTGAGTCAGCTTTTAGAGAGGAGTAACGCACTTCGATATGCAACGCTTGTGCGCAACCTAGATTCTTCTTGCACGAAAGACCTTAAAACTTTACCCTGACATATACGACACCAGAAAGGTATACTCCATCCAAACTGCAATAGACCCAAGACACTGTCACGAGCAGCTTGTCGTTATTGTGTGGCAAATAAAATGTCAGTGAAGTGCATTCTACCCAAACAGTAAAAAACCGAAAACGCTGACACGTGCATCTTGTTGTCACTGGGTGACACGTTCTATCTCAGCGTTTGAAAAGACCTAAAACACTCACCCTTATATAGTCCCACCAATACGTGACCCTTGAAAAGTGCATACCACCCAGACTGTAATAAACCCAGAACGCTGACACGTGCATCTTAGTGTCACTGGGTGACACGTTTAATCTCAGTGTTTGAAAAGATCTAAAACACTCACCCTTATATAGTCCCACCAATACGTGACCCTTGAAAAGTGCATGCCATCCAAACTGTAATAAACCCAAAACGCTGTCACCCACTGGGCAGCATCCTGCCTTCCCTGTGTCGCTATGCCCGTGACCTCAGTGGGAATTCCCAGGTCGACCATCAGCCACTGGTTGTGGTTATTTGGGCGGGAAGCCCACGCGCCAATGTAGCGACCCTGTTTCCGAATGTGCAGTCGAGCACGGAAAGGAGCGTGGAATTTGTCCCATTGCGATGAAGCGGTAAAGGCAGCGTTCTTTATCTTTCCTGTTTGAATTCCCACGGCTCGATCAAAGAATCGCTCTGATGAATGGAGGAAACGAACACAAATAAATAAGCCTTGCAGAGTTCAATCACTGCTCTTGTGTTGGTATCCTTGGTCACGGAGCGATACAAAACCAATATATGAACGTTTCCCTTGCAAGCAAGAAAAAAAAATTCAGCAATAGTAACATAACCTCCCCCATTGAAAGAATAGTCTTTCAAGAGAGCTAGACCTGGTCTCTGAAAAGTAAAACAACAAATAGTGTCTTTTTTGTCCATGAATGAGATACTATGAGAAAGAGATATTGCTGATTTACGCCAGTAATAGGTCGCCATTATAACAGTTTGCTAAACGTCGGGATGGAGGGCGCAAGTGAAGAAAGGTTACTTGTCTCGGGATACAGCTTGGCACCAAAGACACCCTTTTAGCTCACAAATGCAATGCAAAGAAGCTCACTATCACGCTTCGAGCAACATGAGCACTAATTGTAAGAGGCCTTCGAATTTACCTCGATATCGACATCCATAAAGCTCAACCCGCATGGCGATGTAGCTGCGCCACGACTTGGGATGAATGCGCAAAAACCGTGCTCTTATTGGTGGAATAATCTTCAATGAAACCGTATGGTAAATATCATAATTTCCACGAAACACCTATGAAAAAGGCACAGAATTCAACATTACACAAACCCTAAATAAGGTAGTCAAGACAACTTTAAGAACAAACTACAAGAATACTGGCCATTACCAAACAAAAAAAGCGACCTTAGAATCTCTCCTGGCCTCACATAAGGACGACGTCTTCATTAAGACGATCTTATTCAACGTACTTGAAATAAAATTGACCGAAGGGTATAAATTCTTTTGACTCGAAATACTTACGTCATGTTCCAAATATACTAATTTCTGAGGAAACTGATTAGAAAAGAATCAAAAGACAAGTCAGGAAAGGCTAACGCCTTCAATGCCGTATGTAAGGATATTCTGCTACAACATCTGTGACCGGTGATCACAGGTTTACCTTTATTCTGCCATAAGCTACGTAAGGCCTAAACTGTATGCCCTTCACACTGTAAGACAAGGTATATCTTGATACATATTGATGAGCTTCTCTTCGTCCCTGTGTAGCAATGCCTTTGATGATACTCAGCTGTCGTAAATCAACTTGTAGCCACTGTTTGGTGTTGCGATATTTTGCAACCCAGGCTCCCGTTCTCCCGTGACTGGCGTAGATGTTTAGACGCGCTCGGTCAGGTCCGTGATTGTAATTGTACGACGACGACGCTCGAAGATGACCCGATAGGATTCTTCGGTCTTCCATACCGAGGGGCATGGTGCATTTATCTACGAGGAGAAAAATCACACTAGTAAGACTAAGAGACCTGACATTCTAAGAGGTGGCAGTCCATAATAGACCGGTATACAATGTAGTGAATGCTACACCCGCTGTGATTGGTCGTCAGCTATGATCTGTCAAAGTACAGACATACGGATGACGTCACAGAAAAATTTTTTTCTATGTGTTGTCCTATTACTTGCCACAAAAACCGACAAGGACCAGTTATTTCCACTTGAGAAAAAGAAGAAACAGGCAGCGAAAAGTGTTCTTGGGATCTTGAAAAATACTTAAACTGGACCAAATCTCCGAACAGTCCAACGCTACGAGGCACCTTTCCGTTTTTATTGTTGTTATTGCTGTCTTTTCAATGTATAGAACAAATAGACCCCACTTTGCTGTGTGTAAGTGGAGTCTGATTATATCTATACCAACCGTGTCCCACTCTACGATCGCAGAGCACAACAGCACTAAATAGACGGGTGGACAGTACAAGCTGTGTTTTGTTCTCGACAAGTACATTTGTCAATCATGTGCCCCCTTGCACACAAAAAAGTAACACTGGAAAACAGTTTTTTTAAAGGTGGTAACTGACTACTCCTTACCAGTTCGGCATCCGTAAAACTCGGCTCTCATAGATATGTGTCGGTACCATCCCCATGGGTGGATACGCACAAAGCGGCATCTAAGAGCGGGGATGAAAGGGTGGCACACAACGGTATTCTGGTCGCGGTTACCTGAGAAATACTGAAAAATAGAAGGGAAAACAGTTGACAAAATATAACAATTAAAATTGCAAAAGCACTAAGTTAACTAAGCATCAGATGAGAAATAGCAACGTTACCCTGAGTATTAGGGGTTTTTGCCCCGGACGAGACGGAGTGTTTGGGGCTCAGCACGAACTTTTAGCGCGGGTTACTGTAAAGACTTGACCAAATAAAAGTAACGCTTTATCACACGAAATACGAAAACAAACAAACAATCTGAAACTTTACAAATTACCAGACCAGTTAGCTTTTCTGACAAAAAAAAATACCTTGACATTATTTCGCTCCTTGTAAGGCCGGTAATTGACAGCATCCAAGCTGCGAGTCACGTAATACTGCGTGACCCATTGGTTTAAGTCCTGCCTTCCTTGAGTGCAAATTCTGATAATTTTTGCTGGTCCAGCGAAGTCAACTTGAAGCCATTGATATCGATTGTTGTACTGAGACGACCACGCCCCTATGTAGCGTCCATGGCGACGGATGTTAAGACGAGCTCGATAAGGACCATGGTATTTGTCCCAGCGGGAGGATGACGTCATAAAGTGATTTTTTAGTCGATTGTTCTGAAGTCCCATTGGACGATTACACAGTTTTCCTATTGTTCAAATTTAAATCGTTATTAAAAACGCAAAGTAAATAGGTAGGTGTATAGGGCTACTATAGCATAACTACAATTCATAGCCTGAGTTTGACCAGGTTTTTGAGTGTGTACCATGAAACAACTAGGAGTATAGACCTCTTCCAACATTTCCCAATATGGTGGTCAAAACGATAGTTCTTCTCTCCCCTGAAGAAGCAAACTGTTCAACTACAAAATAATGGATTCTCTGAAAATAATTTTTTGCTATCCCCCGGTGAGGGGATGCGAGTTTTTCGCATGGCCAACTCTACTTGTACCGTCGTTACCAATTAAAACGATAACGGGAAGAAAAAAAGAATCCTTGTAACGTAACTCTGTTTGTGAGCTATCTTCATGATTTCAAGGTTCATGGTACATACCTAGTCTGCAGCCGAACAACTCCAATCTCATTGCAATCCATCCGTACCAGGACTTTGGGTTAATACGAACGTAACGCGCTTTTACGGCCGGGCGTAGCCTGTGCACTACCACAAAGTAACGTTCACTGTTTCCCTGGAAGAGCTGAAATAATGCCAGCGAAAACGCCAGTAAAAGTGAGACACTTTTACAGTTATGGCCACAGTTTTTCAATGGCTGGATAGTGAGTGCTTTCCACTGGATAAATCACTATCCAGTGCATAACCATTAGGCAAACCAACCGCACTATCAACTGGATGGAGATTTATCCGGTGGGTAGCGCTATCCACCTTTTGAACGACTGGGGCCAGAAGTTACTATATACACCGTGCCTTACTGACCAAGGGGAGAGCAAAGATGACCTGATGTTAGAGAAGACGTCGAGGTACATACAAAAGCAAAACCAGGCCAATAGTCGGCGACCTTGACCGAACAAGCGTGGTCATTAAAATATTTATAATATGGCTTGCAAGGCTTGCGGGAAAACTCGAGCAGGCAGTATAGGCCTATCTTGCCCCCTTGGGTATACAATCAGAACGCAGAATTCGCTTTATCTTGCCTGCTCGGGCAACCAGCCACACGATAAAAAAAGGTTAGTCGACACATATACACTTTGCGTACCAACCATGTTGAGACAAAAATAGAAATATCCGTACCCTGGTTCTTCTCGCTTGCTTGTAAGGGAAAAATCTGACACCATTATTGCTGTAGGAAACAGTGTATGACGTCACCCATTGATTTGCATCATATCGAGCCTGAGTAGCGATTCGCTTGACAATTGAAACAGTTCCCAGGTCAACCTGCAACCACTGCTTGGTGTTCCTATACTTCGCGATCCAGCCTCCTCTGGTTTGGCCTCGATTCTGTGCCTGAAGTCTGGCACACCAGGGACCGTAGTAGTGGTTGTACATGGAAGAAGCGGTGAACATAGAACGAGTGATGCGGCCATCTTGGATTCCGAGTGGGACGTCACACCGATCTGTGCAAAGCACGAAATGGTATGATGATGAGAAGGATAAGCAACGAAACTGTTCGGACACTATCAACATCTTTAGTCTGTGCGAATTATAAATAATTGCAAACAAAAAATACTGCTTAAGACTGCTTATAAATATAACTTTGTAGATAACTATTATGTAGCTGTATACATTCACCGAAATGTAGTCTTAATCTTTTGGGGTTTTAATTTTCTATTTGTTTGAATTAAAGTCTAAGTATGAACAAGATAACATCCCATTGGGACAAGATATTTGCAATTTCAAGTATCCAAGATTTCAAAGAAAAGATGCAGCCTACCAAAAGAAGACTATTTTTAAATGTGGCCATCATAAATACTAAGATTAAAATCATTGTTGTTTCTTTTTCCTTTTCCTCTCTTTTTCTTTCACTTTCTCTCCTCTTCCTTATTTGCTAGACCGATTAACTTGCGTTGAGCCCTCGATATTCAACAGTATTCCTTCGCATGACATGAGATGATGACCTCAAAATGGAGTGATGACCGTGAAACGAGCTAACGCCCTTAGGAAGACTAACGTCCGTAAGTAAACCAATTAAAAAAGCAACTTACCAACTGCACATCCGTAGAATTCTGCCCTCAGACACGGATAGCCATGCCAGCCTCGAGGATGAAGACGGATGAAGCGAGCTCTAATGGCAGGGTTAATGGCGTTCATTTTAATGCTGTTCTGGTCGCGATTTGCTTGGAAAAGCTGTTGACGATTAAACAAAAATGAGGAATTTAGCGACGCGTTCTCAAATATATCGAAGCTGTACAAAGAACGAGGAATAATGATCTTAAAATCTTGTTCAGTCATAGCTTATGATCGTGAGTATCATCGTCATCATCATCTTCATTATCATCCTCATCTTTATTTTCATTTTCATTTTCACTTTCACCTTCATCCTCCTTTTTGTATTCATATTCGTATTCATATTCTTTTTCATCCTCATTCTCAATTTTCTTTTCATCCTTATCCTCATCCTCATCTTCATTCTCATTTTCATTCTCATCATCATCCTTATCCGCATTTTCATTCTCATTCTTTTGACGTCGCTGTGGCGGAGCGGTTAAGGGTACAGTAAAAAGGGCAACAAGAAAGTGCAACTTTTTTTGGAACATTGCTGCAAAATGAGTTGAATAGCGATGTTGCGCTTTTTACCACCAACGAAAACAAACCCTCATTTGTTGGAAGAAGGGTTCGAAAGTGGGTAACAAAACGCGCAACATCGGTATTCGACTCGTTTTGCAGCAATGTTGCAAAACGAGTGGCACGTTTTTTGTTGCCCGTTTCACTGTAACTTAACGTCACACAAGTTCCCTTTTAAATCCCTAGTAACGCAATACATTTTATTATTATTTTATTTTCTTATTTTTTTGACGTCGCGGTTGCGGCGCGGTTATCATCGCAAAAGATCCCTTTTAAATCCCTAGTAACGCAATACAAGTCCACCAGTTAATCTGGTTGCTCAGCAAAAACCAGTTGTTATGTTTTCTGATCCTTCTTACCTTGTTAACACTTCTGAACCGATACATTGCCCAATGAATGTTGTCAGCACTAAACGACACGTAGTATGACGTTATCCAGTGCCCCACATCCTGCCTTCCTTGAGTAGCAATTTTAGTAATCTTCATCGGTCTACCAAAGTCGACTTTGAACCACTGATTATAATTCTTGTATTTTGCGCACCACGCCCCAATATACCTCCCGGTCTTAACTCTTCCCAGTCTCCCAAGCCATGCAGCATGGAAACGGTTGTACGATGATGAGGCGGTGATCTTGTGATTGCGTATACGACCATTTCGCATACCCAACGGGCGGTTACAGAGGGACGCTAGGAATGGAAGAAAGAAGCATAACATAGGACATGACTTAAAACTTTGCCTAAAAGCTACAAGGTTAAAACCTAAAATTCCAGCCAACCTTCACAATTTCTTGATTGTTAAAAGTCTAGGAAACGAGATTTGCTTTTTAAGCAGGCAAGCGACAAATAGCCCTTATGCATGTTTACGTCAGATGAACAAATTTCACCACCAAGCCCCGTTTTGAAATTGCAAAAGAACTCAATAGATGCTGTTCACCGATTGGGCACAATAATACAAAGCATTTTTTGTGCCCAATCAGGAGCCACCATTCGCTTGACCGTTTGGAAATGGTCTGGTGAGTGTCGATACCCAGGGGCTCTTCCGCTAGTGCTTGAAAACGTTCGTAGCGCCTTTCCTCCCGACCCGGGCGACTGACTGCCCCTGGGTCTCCGAGGATGATTGATGCTTTGTGTCCAATACCATTAGTATACCCTGGGTTACCTCTGGTAAGGAAAAGCTACCAACATCAGCTGACGTGCAAAATCGGTGGCGCAAGCGCATTCGTACCCGAGCAGCCGTAAAGCTCCGCTCTCATGGAAATCCAGCCGTACCAACTTCTTGGGTAGATGCGGACGTAAATGGCTTTAAACGGTCTGACAAACTGATGATAAACTACGGAATGACGATCTGTGTTTACTAACAAGCCCGTGAACATGATCATTTACATATGAAAAACAAGAAGGTTTGTAACAAAACAAGGTCACCGCCAGCCTCGCGTCTATTCAAAGGCTAGGGCACTGAGCACACAACTGTAAAATGGCCTATTACCAGGAATTACATGGGTACAAAAGACAGCAGCTTCCTCTCTATGACTCGTATTTTGTCAGTTGTCTGAGTTGATAAGGTAACGAAAAAAAAGACTAACGTAACTCTGTTTGTGAGCTATCTTCATGATTTCAAGGTTCATGGTACATACCTAGTCTGCAGCCGAACAACTCCAATCTCATTGCAATCCAGCCATACCAGGACTTTGGGTTAATACGAATGTAACGCCCTCTTACGGCCGGGCGTAGCCTGTGCACCACCACAAAGTAACGTTCACTGTTTCCTTGGAAGAGCTAAAAATGCCAGTAAAAACGTCAGTAAAAGTGTTGTACTTTGACAGTTATGGCCCTGGTTTTTCAATAGTTGGATAATGCTATCCACCGGATAAATCACTATCCAGTGCATAACCATAAGGCAAACTAATTACGCTGTCAACAGGATGGAGATTTATACGGTGGGTAGCGCTATCCACCTATTGAATGACTGGGGCCAAAAGTTACAATATATACCGTTCGTTACTGACCAAGCGAGAGGCCAAGCTGGACGAATGTTGGGCAAGTTCTCTTTTTGCGTTTTAATGGACAGTCTCTATCTCGGAACAAGATCCATACAAACGCAAAATAAGGCTCCAGTTGTTCAAAAGGTGAACAACGCTATCCAATTGATAAATCACTATCTAGTGGATGACGCAATTGGCTTCCCCAGTACTTATTCACTGTGCGGTGATTTATCCGGTGGAAGCGCTATCCAACTTGTTCAGCGATCTTGACCAAAGAAGCTTGGTCATTAAGAAAAATTTATAATATGGCTTGTAGGACCTAGAGGGAAAACTCGACCTGGCAGTATTCAATCAGAACGCAGGATTTACTTTATCTTGCGTGCTCGGGAAGCCAGCCAAATGATAAAAGAGGTTCGTGGACACATGTGCACATTGCGTACCATCCATGTTGAGACAACAAATACAACAACATTTATTGGCATTTCCATGAGTAGATGGCATTGCCGATTACAATATTGATTATGTTAGGTAAAGGCAAAAAAACAAGAAAAGAACTTTTATCATTGTAAATAATAATAATGGCTATAATTGCACGGAAAATGCTAACTTTATTGTTGCTATGTTTAATGATCTACTTTCACGTTTTTCGAAGGCCAGAAAAATAAAATGGCCAAGCTTCTTACAGACAGACAGACAAAACAACGGGATCTACGTTATTGAAGAGAAAAAGTGTCATATCGTTTGCACTCAATGAGTGAAAATTAGGATATATGTGACTTATAGAAAAACAGAAGTATCCCTACCCTGGTTCTTCTCGCTTGCTTGTAAGGAAAAAATCTGACACCATTGTTGCTGTAGGAAACAGTGTATGACGTCACCCATTGATTTGCATCATATCGAGCCTGGGTAGCGATTCGCTTGACAATTGAAACAGTTCCCAGGTCAACCTGCAACCATTGTTTGGTGTTCCTATACTTAGCGATCCAGCCTCCTCTGATTTGGCCTCGATTCTGTGCCTGAAGTCTGGCACACCAGGGACCGTAGTAGTGGTTGTACATGGAGGAGGCGGAGAACATAGAACGAGTGATGCGGCCATCTTGGATTCCGAGTGGGACGTCACACCGATCTGTTCAAAGCACGAAATGGCATGACGAGGAGGATAGACAACAAAATTGTTCAGACACTATCAACATCTTCAGTCTGTGCGAATTACAAATAATTGCAAACAGAAAATTCTGATTAATACTGCTTATAAATACAACTTTGTAGATAATTGTTGTCTAGCTGTATAAATTAACCGAAATTTAGTCTTGATCTTTTGAGGTTTTAATTTTCTATTGTTTTAATTAAAGTCTAAGTATGAAAGAAAATAACATCCCATTGGGACAAGATATTAGCAATTTCAAGTATCCAAGTTTTCAAAGACAAGATGCAGCCTACCAAAAGAAGACTATTTTTAAAGGTGGCCATCATAAATACTAAGATTGAAATCATTGTTGTTTCTTTTTCCCTTTCCTCTTTTTCTTTCACTTTCTCTCTTCTTCCTTATCTGCTAGACCGATTAACTTGCATTAGAGCCCTTGATTTTCAACAGTATTCCTTCGCATGACATGAGATGATACCCTCAAATGGAGTAATGACCGTGATACGGGCTAACGCCCTTAGGAAGACTAAGTCCGCAGGTAGACCAATTAAAAAAGCAACTTACCAACGGCACATCCGTAGAATTCTGCTCTCAGACACGGGTATCCATGCCAGCCTCGAGGATGAAGACGGATGAAGCGAGCTCTAATGGCAGGGTTAATGGCGTTCATTTTAATGCTGTTCTGGTCGCGATTTGCTTGGAAAAGCTGTTGACGATTAAACAAAAATGAGGAATTTAGCGACGAGTCCTCAAACTCATCATCGCTGTACAGAGAAAGGGAATCATGAGCTAAAAATCTTGTGTATTCATAGCTTATGATCGTGAGTATCATCGTCATCATAATCTTCATTATTATCTTCATCTTTATTTTCAATTTCATATTTTTTTTATTTTTACTTTCATCTTCTTCCTTGTTTTCAGTTTCATATTCATATTCCTTTTCATCCTCATCCTCGTGCTCATTTTTGCTTTCATCCTCATCCTCATCTTCATTCTCATTTCCACTCTCATGTTCTTTGTCATCATAACCCTTATCCTCATTTTCATTTTCTTTCTCATTCTCTTGACGTAGCGGTGGCGGTGCAGTTAAGGGTACGGTAAAAAAGGCGACAAAAAACGTGCAACTTTTTTTG